AGCCACAATGTAGTACAACTAAACCCTGATGAAAATAAATATTATCTTCTCACTCCATATCCCACATTAATGCAATCACTCAAAAAATTTTCACCAGAAAGCATTCGCGCTATCGCTCGAAACCCAAATATAGACTTACAATCAATAGGAATCTATTCAAAATCAGATATTCAACATCACATTAGAACACAACAATTCCAAGAATTATTAACACAAATGGACACTATACAAAGACAATCAATAGACCAAAATTTACGCAAACTTGCAGAAACCGCAGGATTTGCCGACATCTACACCCAAGACTATAGCGGATATTTTAAAGACATTAAAGATTATATATATCTAAACGGCGAAAAATACCGTCCCCAAGATATATCACCAATTAACATTTTTAGCTTTGTTACACTCAAAAATGAGATCCTAGATTTTCTAGGATGGCCCTACTACATCTTAGAAAAATTGACTATTTTATACGCAATGTTTAACTTTATTGGATTTCTTTTCTCACTCTTAAAAGGAATCTACAACACATGTGCTATACACACACAAGTAAACAGACAAGCAAGCGTAGCACGCATACTCTTTGCAGGATTTTTTGGAATCTTTTCTACATCTATAAACAAAATTCTTTTAGACGCACAAATAAAAGAATATAACACAAAAATAACAACACGACAAAATACATACGACGAAGAACATAACAATGTCGACACACAGCCAACGGCACCACAATTACCACCCCTACCAAATAACCATCCACTATCCCTAGTCCCACGAAATTTTCGAAATTTAGCAATCACACATAATCCAAATTTTCGACTCAATACATCACAAAGTCCCGTCCAACATATAATGACACACCAGTCACAAGATGATAATACTTATGAACAAATTATTGAACAACCCCATACCACCGCTTTTCAGTCTCAAAATAATCATTTTTTTAGCCCACGATGAGCCGCCAACTTGGATCACTACACCGATCAAATTCCCATCCAACCAACCTTACCTCTCCAATCCCAATCATACCACTTTTTGCTTTTCCGCCACCCGATTTTCCATCTAGCAATGTAACATCAGGCATGAATTCCGACACTAACTCACATATTTCAGTTTTATACTCCATCTCACAGCTAAATAACCCGAATATTGAAACCCCCGATGAATTTGCCGACTCAGAACCATCCCCATCCAATAATTTTCATAACCCTTCTAATTTTTCTCAACCTCCTTTTCAACCCATATTGTCCAATAACCCTGACCCAATCACTCCGACACCCTCTTATGCTTCCCAAGTTACCCCAACCTACTCCTCATACCATTCTGACCAATCATCTCATTCTCCAGACACCCCCCGAATCTCCCCAGAGCTAGATAATTTTATTACCCTCCAACAGCAACCCTACCACCTTAACACCCCGACCATAAACCAAATCTCCTCCACTACAAATTCATCCAATCCCCCTACACCCTCTTCAAATTATACTGAATCATTAACACCATCATCCACATCCACTATATCTTCACTAAACACTAATAGAGCTTACCGCACTTTTAAAAGAAAATTCCCCAACCATCCTTTCCCAGCAAAACCAGGAACAGCCCGTGAATACATCAACCACCCCCAGCATACTAACACTAAAGAATTTTTAGCTATCACCTTACCCTCGTTTCCACAATACACTTTAAACACCCCTCACGACGCTAACGAAACACGCAACTTTGTAGATGAATACGTTTTAATGCCCACTCTCTCTTGGACCTCATACTATCATTTCACTAACCCTCTTTGCTTACCTTTATCCAGCACTTCCATCGATATAGAACGAAACAAGGACATGCTATATCAACTCACTACACCACTAACCGCTAGACAATTTACTTACGTTGGATATAAAAAATCACTAAAAATACACACTGCACCTAGAGCTAATGAATATACACTAGAATATTACGATCACAACATCATTAGAGCTAACCAAGATCAATTCTTAGACGACGATCGCTTCGCTAATCCACAAATCACCGAGAAATTTTTCATCAAGACACCATATATATTTACACTAAATATCTTCGACCGAAAGTTTGATCACATTATTTCAGAAGCACTAACAAACACACAAGCATACGAAAGTTTTAAAGAACGCTTCCAAATATTTTCACTAACCTTTCATTTCCTTGCACCACACGAAAGAGATTTACACTGCTCACACGATATTATGTTGCGCACTAAACAAACACATACATACAGTTACTATCGTTTCATCCAAAATCACTTTGACCTCCACACACCCTCTAGACAACCACACCATCGTTTCCAATTCATCAATTCAAAATACACTTCACCATATTTCCTAAATTTCACATATTGTATTAAAGAAACTAACCTCCATGGTATTCTTCGTAATTATGACCCCATAACCCAAATGTACATTTTCTGCCCCATCACCAAGACCTTCAACGCCGAAGAATCCCGACCCTTCCTTATCCCGCACGAGTTCCTGCAACCTATAGAAATCCCAATTTTAGAATTCATCCACAACACTAAATTTAACCACAAATTATATAACTTAATCCAAAACACACCTTATGAGTTTGCAGTAGGCACTGAAGAACTAACCACTATTAAGGCACTTCAATTGCTTTGGCCACTACTCCAGACTAAAAATATCATCCGCATTCTAGCTAAACTACTCACAACTTCAGAACTAATTCACGACATCTTCCCCCACGGTTTTTTCCCCGACGACTAACAGGTAAGTATGAATTAAGTAAATATTACTAATTAATTACAGTATTAAAAACTCACCATTCTTTATTCATGTTTTCTTTAGATTTTTAGCCTTCATCCTAGATCATCTGAAAAATTCACAAAAGAAAAATAAAAAATAGCAAACTTCTTCAAAACTGTTTAAGACCCTATTAAACTTTTGCACCAACAATTAAATAAATATAATACCAATGCAGTAAATTAATTTATAAAATTTTCCCCCAAAAGCAGTAAATCTACATATGATGAAAATTTGTATCTCAAAATTCCCCATAACTAGCAGTAAATTTCTAAATTCTATGTAGTAAATTAATAAAATGCAATTGCAGTACTAACCTTTTGATATTTTCATTCATTCGCACAGAAATTCTATCCACACTCGCACAGCTCGCCCACGAAGAATTGTTTAAAATAATGAATTTCAGTTTCAAGTTTTCACACTCAACAACTCTAACATACAATAACATGTTTCAAACTTTCCTTTAACCCGGTTGGAAAGGAATCATATACTAAACAAAACTAACCAACGCAGCTTACTAAATACCACAAATCATAGAATAACAGCATGACTTAGAAAAGGAAACCAACGGTACCCAAACCGGATTAACCCAGTTTAAAACTGGATAATTTATTCTTTTGAAGACTATTACAAAGTCTTAGAAAGAAATAATAAAACACAAAAAAGTCGAAAGACAAACCCATACCACAAACAATTTGCTTTTTGGAAAAAGTACATAACCAACAAGACATAAGTAAAACCACAACAAACCCAACATAAAACGTTGTCACATAACAGGACCCCTCACAAACACCGCATGAAATCATACTCCCACTCCTGGCCTAACCCACCAGGAAAGGACGTCCTGAGCATGCTCTATAGCCGGCCTAACCCACCGCGCTACATCCACGCTTTGTGACCACACCTTTATTTTTAATAAGAGCTACTCAAGGGTGAGTAACTCTTCAAAATAACCGAACTAAAACAAAAAGCTTTTGTGAAAACAACTAACTAAAGTCATTATTAAAAAATATTAAACTAATAAAAGTTTTATAAAATGTAAAATCACATGATGCAATATATAGATCAGAATACAACACCAAGGACGAACATCAAAAGACAAAACGACCCCACTACACTCGAGAGAGAATGACCAACTACAATCGATATGCCGCTCACAATCACAACTCAAAGGATTTAGAGTACGACTTGACTTCGCAGAAAAGGACTTCATTGAACTAGACCAATGACCACCTCGATGTTCAAGTATACGTACAGATCCGAGTAACCAGGCATCCCCTCCACGCACAATCTCCACGCCATTCCCAAACTAGATCATACACAAAAGAAGTTCTCCACGCAGAACAGAAAAACCTGACATAGCCAACCATTCTGGAATCAGAATTGACTTTGTTGCAGAGACTCAGTCGTTGTCACAAGAAGAAGCGAAAGAAAATTATGATGTTCGCCAAATACCAACGTCCATCATCCACCCTTGAATTACAGAAGAACTGTTCTAAAAAACTCTGTAAAACCCGGATGGGTGGAACCTGATCTAAACTATATTTTATGATTGGATAAATTAAATGTTTTACCAATGTAAAGTATTTAATATTAACCAATCATGATCCATCTAACTAACAACCCACTTATTTGTAAGTGCTGAAGTTACTTGTAATTTCAGCACCAGAGAGATTTGAATTTAACTTAGAAATTAGTTGGACTCTCCCGAGCACTTCAGCAGCCGCAATAAACCAGTATACCCTAGATCTATTGAGCCTAGCAGAGACTAGTTAAACAACCTGAGACTAGATAGTATAAGAGTAAGATTAGGATCGGTATTAGACTAAGAAGTTGCACGAATCTATCCGGCCGAAAATAAGATAGCGTGACGAGCAGACGGTGTACCCTATCCGAAATTACTCTATGAGTTATACCTCCAGTTCTAACTCAGAATTATCGCCTCACAAAATTAATCGAATAGTTTTCGACAAAGTTAGCTTTTATTTGGCTCAAAGCTGCATAATTGTACAGTTCATAATTATCAAGTATTTATACTCTCAAAGGAGATTAAATTTTTCTGTCTTTAGTTTATTACTCACACTCTTTGTACATTATATGTTTTGTCTAGGTTAATTTGAAAATCTAATTGCAACAGCAAAAAAAATATTATGAACCCAAAACATGAAAAAAAATGTAAATGATGTCTTTGACCCAACTTTGTTTTTCCAGAGCGGTGCCTTGCTGAGTAAATGTACAAATGTAGGAGGACTTTGCGACTCCTCATTGTCCAGTCGTCTGGAGTGCTGTCCAAATTCAGGGTCCCTGGGGGATGGAGTCTGCTGCACTGAGGAACAGCGTAAGTTTGTGGGGGAGTCTTGTACCGGAAACTCCCCCAGTACTGACTGCTCAGTGACTAGGATGGAATGTAACGGGAATTCGTGTGGGTTCGAAGAGCATTTCAGTGAGGACTCCGTGGCCCTGTTTATCGTGTTGCTCATCGCGTTTCTCGCCACTGTCGTAGTCGTTGCAGCCCAAATCGCATGTTGTGTCTTTTGGTGGATGAGGAAGAAACGAAAAGCCAAAGGTTACAATGTAGTTTCAGTTATTTCTGCCAAAAACAATCACAAGACGGATTCGCCTTTTAAATAAAACACAGTATTAAATGAAAACTAACACACTGCGTCTAGTAACCCTCACTGTGCAAATACACACCTTAGTCGCGATCAAAGAGGAATATCTTGCAAGGTTCTTGCAAGGCTCTTGCACTTGAGTTATCTTGCAAAATCTTGCAAGATGGATGTTATCTTTCAAAAATATTGAAAAAAAGAGAATAGCTAGCAAGTAGTTCTTGCAAAATCTTGTGAGATAACACGCAACAAAAGTTTTCATGAAAAATTTCTGACCGCAAGACACAGACGATGGATTTCCTAATTAAGGACTTAACCAGAAGCACATCTGAGCTTAAAATTAGTACTCGTACCTTAAGTCGGGTTGACCAATTTATAATATATACTTTTCATGAAAGAGATACAATGTTTTGAAACGGCGGTTTTCGGTTTCGCCAGGCATTGTGTTCATTTTTCCACCGTCATATCACTAACTAACATTTTTCAGGAGTTGCAGAAAAGAAAAGAAAACAATAAATAAAAATTTCTAAAAACAAAATAGGTTGGTTGCGAGCATGGTTGTTAATTCCAGTGATTGTGTTAAAACTGGTTTTTTTTCTGCAACTCACGAAAAAGCACAAAAACCCAAAAAATCAATGGAACTAACGGAACCAATTTGAAAGTAAAATCACGTGTTAAATATTAAAAATGTTATTTAAACTATCCGAGTGAAAGTAATTTTTTTGCTGCGTCTTTAGAAAATGAAGAAGGCAAGGGTTACAAAGACCCCGAAGTTCGTCCCTCCAGTAGCAGAGGAGAACCTGCCGGGGAGTCACGTTTCAGAGTACAGCTTCCCACTCTCACAAGACCGCGAGCAAGTGAACCCCCATCCAGAGATGGTAGATACAACCCAGGATTTGAAGCATCGCCGGAACCAATTCCGATGGTGGAATTCCGAGATCGAGAGGCAAGAGCGAGACGTGACGACAACTTCTCGCCCGCAGACGAAAGGTCCTCACGAGACCAGGTACGGGATCCGAGAAGTGACTTGGTCGCTAATCGTCGATCACGCAGTCAGGATCCGAGAACGCAGACAGATTCGATGCAACGGGAAACACTCAACGAAGAACCGAGACGTCGGTTTCCTTCGCAAGATTCCCAGCGGCCGATTGACTCGGTTTCACCAAACGCACAAAGAAGAGATGCGAGGATCCCACGCGACAACCGAATTTCGGGCAACGATTTCGACCCGAGACTAGGACAAGAAAACAGAGGATTTATCAATTCGAACCCAAATTTCAACCAAGGTTCAGCTCAACGAAATGACATGAGTCCAGGATTCAATTCAGGACTTCAGCAAGCACGAAGTTTTGACCAAGATTTCCCTTCTCCCCCGCCTAGAAACGAAAACCGGAACAGCTCATCATTATTACGCAACTCACAGCCTTCATTGCATAATGGTCAGTTCGCGTTAAGCAACAATCAGCCACGATCACAAAGGTTTGACCCCTCCTTTCGTAATTCTCAGCCAGTGTTGAATAATTCGCGTGAGAACTTGTCGCCAGAACAATGGAACTCAGATGCCGAATTACGTTACTCGCCTCAAGCTTTAAACCATTACAAACAAAGTGGTAATCCCCAATCACGTAACGCTCAGCCTGTATTACGTCATGCAAATCAGAACACGCCAGGTTTACGTAATAATGAAGGTCACCGCACGTCACTACAGAACTATCAGAGTAAGTATGTAGTCGAAGAGGATGAAAACGATACTTTGGTAATTGGGGGTACCCCAACTCATCGAAGCTGGGATAGAAATGGGAGAGCTGGGAACTACCAACGTGGGAGAGGGGGTTCTGAAGGCAACTTGTACATGGGGGAGGAGCGGAATTTGGATGATCCTGAAAATGGGTGGCGTCTACCGAGTAAAGTTACAATGGAAACTGAAATCAATTGAAGCTAGAAGTTTCATTCAAACAAATTATACTGTAGAGCGGGACAGTTCTTGATAATTCTCATCTTTTGTAAAATTATTTCATTTTTATAATTCGACAAAAATATCCAGGAAAGTTTGAGCTTTTGTCTAGAAAACTTGAGTGGTGTTGCTCCATGTAAAAACCATAATGTTTCGCAATAAACAATACCAAAGCATCGTTTTAGCATTTTGAAACATTTTAGCATTGTAGTTAACATTTGAGGGCATTAAGAGAATGAACAGGATAGCACAGTCTTTCTCAGACAATACCGAGCTTCGAAACATATACAATTTAAATAGTTTATAAAATGATGAAAACACAAAACGAGACCACACAGATTGAGGTTTTTGGCAATTTTTTCCAAGAATTTTTCGAATAATTGGAATACTTTTTACAGTTATTTTTGAGGATTATCGTTGCAAAAAAAACGCAAATTATTAAATACGCAGTGGGTGATATGCAACAATAGGTGGTAATTTTGAGTATAGTGCATGTAATAGATTTCAAAACTAGTCTTTTCATTTTCAGTCAATTGTTCCCTTACTTAAATATTGTTTGTAAATACATTACTCTGCCGAAAAATTTGGTTTTTGAATTAAACTATAAAGAATGATCTAAGTATAACAAAAAGCTATCCAGCTAATGTTAGTGAACCTTTCACCTATTGCAATATATCACTACGAATTGTTTTACAAATTATCTAAATTGTATGTTCATCATTCATAGACTAACATGCATTTTAATTCTTACTTTTGACAGTTTGTAAATTTGTTAACTTGACCCAGGAATTATATAATACATGCTTTTTAGTTTACGTTAGCAAATCAACAAATAAGATTGAGTCAATCCATGGTAGCTTCAGAACAATATAAGAATAAACAATTATAAATAAACTTTTTATGAAAACTATAAATACAGAGATTATGCCCCAATTTTTTTGTTAAGTGGTACTTTTTCATGAGAACTTGTCAGTTATTAGATTTTTACTTTTTCAAGTTTCTGAAGTTTTAAGTAAAAAACTTCAATTTTTGGCACACAGTCTAGCAATCAAATATCCTAATGAGAAGGCCTTTTTACCTGTCGGCTGCTATTTTTTACATCTATTGCTTAACGTAACATTTTTTGATTTTTTTTTTGTTTGCTTTCTGCAGCACAAAAAAAATTGTTGCGATTTAAATTTTTCAGCTAAAATAATTGTTATGAATGGTTCGGCAGAAAGAGTTTTTTTTTCGAACTTTACGACATTTTTGCAAACTTTACGAGGTCAAACTGTGCTTTTTTCATATTTTGAGCGAGTTCCGCAACAAACCAAAATCGGATTTGACGCATTATCCGCGAAGTTGCGATTTTTCTTTGATCTTCTTGGCTGTTTTGGATTCTAAGGACCAATAAATAAAAAAAAACTACTGCTCAAAATCGCTCCCTAAACAAACAACTTTGCGGAATCTGCAACAAACTTTGTGGAATCCTCAATAAGATTTGAGGAATCCGGAAAAGTTTGTGGCATCCACAAACAAATCATATTTTTTGTGTTTAGTGACTTTAGGCTATCGTGGTATCCGCAATTGGAAGCTGAATCCGCAAATAGGAAGCGGAATCCGTAAATTGTCAGTGGATTCCGCAAATTGTAAGTGGAGTCCGCAAAAAGTTGTGGAATCTACTTATAGTTGCAGAATCGGCTCACATTTCCGGAATCCGGAACAACACATGTATGCTCGTTAAGAAGACCGCAAAAAAAAACTGATGTTCCGACTTAGTTTATGTTACAGTCTTTTGTAAAAAAATAGAATCCACGGACAAATTGTAGGCGGAATCCATTCACAATTTGGAACTCATATACAGACTTGACTCTGGTATCCCGGAACATATTGACAAAAAATTGTGCGCCTATCCACTGCATAGTTTGGCCTCGTAAGGACAGTCGATCGCAATTCTTTAAAACTTTGTTTGTTTGACTTTTCGTCCAGGATTGTTGTCGGCCATAGAAAAGATTTGGGAAATTGTTATCAATTTGTCTCTTGTGAGAAAACGCTTCGAGAAATAAAAGTATCAACAAAAGCGAAAGACGTTTGCAATAAATTTTCCTGCCATGTAGATTGTCGGCAGAATCTTCAGTAGCCAAATGATTGCAAAAAGTAGGAAGCTAGTCAACAAAATAGTCCCAAAAACAGAACAGTTTTTGTTTTTACATGTTTTTACCGTATTTTGAATTTTCTCTGATGGTGTGTTTTAGATTCAAACTTTTAAAAAACTCCTGCAACTTGGAAACTAAGAAAAAAACTCCAAACACACTCCAAAATTCCATTTTTTGTAAAATTCAACCGAGTTTGAGAAAACAGGTTAGCAAATTTTGATAGAATCATTTTCTCCATTCACCCTATTCCAGTGATATTGAAGCTTGTTCGGATCAATTGCAGCGATAAACGAATAAGCAGGGAAAACATTCAAGAAAAAAAACAAATATTTTAAAGGAATTATATCAGCAAATTTAGCAAGTTTTTGCTTTTTGCTGCCGACTGCAAAGAAAATTTTCGAAAACCCCAGTAATTAAAAAAATTACAAAGAAAACTTGAAAACTGTTTCGAAAACGCACTGTAGGGTGTTATCAATCTGATAGACTTGTTTAGCAACCACATTAAGCTTGATTGCAACAAAAACTTACCAATTAGTGTGAAAAAACTCATAAGAGTGCGAAACATAATGACTATATGTAATTTTGAGCATATAAATTAGAATTCAAGGTTCACCATTTAAATTAATTTCAACAGCAACAAGTAAACAATTTTCCTTTTGATAAGTAGTTTATTCATTTTTTCTGTTTTTCATTTCTTTTTCTTGTACGTCACTTCAGCAAAGTTGACTTCCTTTTTGTTTGTGAAAATTTTAGTAATTTCATCTCTAGTAGTGGAATCAAAAACTAAATAACTTGTGGGCTCAGTTTTTTCTTACTAATAACTCAAATATCTTGTGTATTTCCATTTTGAAAATTGAGTAACTTTTTGTTTTAACTGTTTTTTTTCTTGATAAATTTAATGTTCTTATTGATGATGCGCAGCCAAAAACAAGATGTTTTTCTTGCTTCAAAGCTTCAAAAAAAAAGATGTTTTTCTTTGCTATTCTATAAATACGAACGGCTTAGCATTGAAAGTTTCAAGTATCCCCATTGAAAACAAAACTTTTAAATTCTTTGTTTTTACTGCCTCCGAAACATTGTTCATAGAGTCTTGTTTTGTCAAATATGACGCCTCGATTTGTGGCAATGTTTATGGGGCTAGAGTTGTGTTATCCTGAAGTTTAAATTTTGAACAATTGGTGGTCATGAACGTAAGCGATGGTCGTCATCAACTTTTTTTTTGTGTTTAGAGCATCAACTTACAAATACTCGCATCAGTTTTTGAAATCAACCAGGCTCTTTTTAACTACAATTTGTTGTCGATTATGCAGATATTTCTTATTGTTCCGACTATCGATACGAAAGTAACGGAATATTTGTGCTCGGGGTGGGTTTTTTTTTTCTTCAGACAAATTTCGACTTTTTAACTAACCTTTTTTGACGGAATTTTTATATCATTCAAAAGCTACTTTTGCCCTGAGCTTCAATTTGAAAAAAAAAAATTCATTTCAACTTTTATCGTTTTCGTAAAGTTATGGGGATTTAAAAATTGCCATTTTTGCCAATTGGGGACAATTAACGCGCCATATATTTTGCGCTATTAACTGGTAAGCGGAGACTTAATACGTCTAAGAAATCGTTCCAAATTGGTTGCAAGAAGCTAATTTACCATATTTCATTTGTTAAAAAGGAACGAAATATAACCTTTTGTAGTTTATATGGCGTGTGGTGGGATGTTTTTCCTAGAATGTTACATTCCTAGGGATGTTTTTTATTACATTCAATTTGTTAATGATATTTATGTTATTAATGCTCTATAAACCCTAAAAGGCAGTCGAAACATTCAGGGCTTCGCCTTGATACGAGCAGTTTTGTTAAGTTTTTGCAAAATTATAGCCTGATCGACTGTGGCTAACGCTTCTGGTTATTGTAGGAAGGTAGTGAGAACCGGTTCCTGGCTGGCCAAGCAATTTAACGGTTTGCAATTCTTTCCACTTTTGCAACAATCGTAGATAGTTTGCTTATCGAAACTGCTTATCCAAAAGCAATTGATGTGATTTGTTTAAAAAAATGGTAATTTTTGAACATTTGATCACCTTAAAGAAGTGATAACTTTAAGTGAATAATATTTTGTTTAAAATGATGACCTTTTTAAAAAAGTTTTTGACAAACTTGCCCAAAGTAAATTGATCAATTTTTTTGGTGACTGCTTTTTGAATTAAGACAATTTTTGAACACTTAGAGTGATTGGATTATTTTAAATTGAAAAAATTTTGTCAAGAATGTTACATACATGATACATGTTGACATATAACCGAATTGAGATTCTCATTTTGAAACTTAGCCATTCCTGATACATCTTACTGTTTAAAAGTTTAATTTTAAGGCCGCAATTGTCACTCAATGCATCAATAAGATTTGAAAATAAAATTACTTTTCAGTACATAACTTTCACCCGAAGTGATGTTTAAAAAAAACTTTTTACTAGGGTGCATTGTTTTTTGGACAAAATTTCAAAGTGAATTTTTTGAAAATCTGTCAAACTATTCATTTTTGAACACACCGTTAGATTTCCAATGTTTTCATCTGGTTCAATCATCAGTTTTTTTTTCAAAAACGATAAGTTACTTATTCTCTTGATAAAATTCAAAAATTAGATGCAGTTTTTTTATTTCAAACACAAAAATGGTACAACATCAATTAACGTCAAGTGCATGTTCAAAATTTGATTGTAATAAATTTGGGTTCTTTTGACTTCCATCTTTTTGAGGAAAGCAGTCAAAAATGATTTCATATCGAGAATCAGCAGTTAGTAATGCTCGAAAAAATTTTTTTGATGTGGTGCGCTACTGCTATTATCGCTGTTAAATGTTTTTTTTTTCGATTTTTCTATTGTTTTTTGTTTTCAATCAGATGAGTCGTTAGGATGTCAAAAATTTCAGGCAAAAATTTCTGCCGAATTTTTATTTTATACTCTTAGTGCTTGTTTTTGTTTGAATTAATATAGCTCCTTCCAATTCTTTTTTGGAGCAGCTTGCATGTTTTCATACTCACACTGACAATAAGTGGCAGATTTTGAAACAATGTCAAAGATAACATCAATAATTTTGTTTCGAACTT